TTGCAACACAAACGTGAATTCCCAGGTCACCTAACTCCACATCATGTAATCATGAAAGCAGCTATTAGTGGCAAGGAAGATAAGTAGCAGAGGCTAGTCCCATATGTTTGAAATCATTCTCTGGTACAGATAATGACATGCAAAACCAGGTACAAACCAGCCACGGAGACTGAACGGTTTCAAGGCAGCTCTAGGGTGGCTGTTTGGTGGTAAGAACTGAGAAGCCAGTGAAAGAAACACCTGAGTAACATTTTGGGGACTGTTGGGGAACTGGCAAGCACCTTGTGATGTTCAAGTTCTCTTTTTCATGGAAAAAGCAGACAGTTAACAGTTTAACCACCACAGGTTTGGTGTGTTTTTATAAACTGTTATATGGCAAAAGAAGATAGAGCAGCACATCAGGAAACTGCAAACTGGAAAGGGAAAGGTTCTGTGACAACCTGAGAACTGACATCAGCAGGAGCTCAGGCAAGGAGCCTGGGTGAGGATGTCCCAGGGCACAGCTCACTGGCAAGGACAGATGTGACACTGAGACCACCCCCACTACACAATGCAGTTCTGTGCTGAGGCAGCTGGTCCTGCTCTGGATGAACTTGCCTAGGTATTGCTGGCCGTGTAACGGTATGTTGATGTAGCTATGCTGCAGCCAGCAGGTGAGCTTGTCCAAAACTACTCTGACTATCTCTGCCCTGCACTGGTGCAGAGGCATCACGACTTGTGACTCCAGAACTGTTTCCTCGTTCATAAGGTGGAGGCAAATATACCAGCTGATATCAATGGGCTTCTACAAGAAATAATGAAATATTGACCACATTTCAGCAAACTTGCCATAGATTAAACTCCAGTGAGCTAATAGTAGAGCTATAGTAGGGTGAATTTATTTTTATTGGCTTACAAACATAATAGCTGCATGGTTAATAGTCCTGGATGACCTACAGATTCTCTACCTGTTAATAATTCTACATCTGCCTCCCTTTAACACTCCCAACCCAAAACCTAGTAATTGTATCTGAATGTTCAGTTCCAAACAGCAAAGAGAAAGCAAGGTCATAAAAGACCAAAAGTGGTAATAAATACTATATTCACATGGAAAGTTGTTCTTCTCCCAAACCTCCAAATCACAAATGGAATGCAGTAAAAAAAAAAAAAAAAAAAAAAAGAGAAGAGAAAGCAGATCAAATATTTATGTTGCCTGCAGTCATACTGGGGGTCTTTCCAAGAATGGCTCATCCTGATTTATGGTCAATCCTGATTCAAATGACATGAGAAAACTTACAGCATAAAATGAAGTCTGGCCATATTTGGGGAGTGAATCACATTTGAAAATAAACTTCTTGAAGAGAAAACATGATTGTGTATATGGAGTGCAGGCAATCATTTACTGAAAATTATTATTTTTGTTGTTTTTTCTGCACATTCAAAGAGAAATTTCATATGAAAAATCATGGGAAAGTGCTTTGATTACAGACTGGAATATAAAAGCAAATTTAAAGATTAGACTCAGTTTGCTTTCAGATGACTATATTTGCATATATGATTTTAGTATTTATAAATTAAACATTTTCAGGTATAACTCAAGTTCTTTCACTGGGAAAGGATGGGTTTGGAGGCTCAGTGTTAGCCTTCAGTCTGCACTTGTACATCAAAAAGCCCTAACTACCAAAAGAGCTCTGACTTCTAACCTACCACAATTTCTCATGGGGATAAATTTATGCTGGAATTAATGTTCTCTATGCTGGTTTAGCCTTTTCCTTTCCTGAATAAGAATAAATCATACTGCTATAAACACTGGTTTACCGTTTTAAAAAAGATTTGCATTAGGGTTAGGTTTGTATGACCTGAATAATTCTAAAATAAAGTGGTTTAACTCCTATGCAGAAAAACATAATGTAAAGAAATTTTCTTAAAACTTCTCATGGTTAAACAAGAATGTGCAGAAAAATACTGCCTAATTTTGTAGAAAAAAATGAAAGCATTAGGAAAAGAGTGAAATCCTTTCATTATGTAAGGTGGTTGTCTGGTAAGTGATGCAGAATAATGCTATGTATGACAGGGAGTTCTGTGGGGTGGCTTTTTAAGCAAGTAATCTGTGTAATACAGCCAATTTCTTTTTGTAGATGTCACATTCTTCTCCTGTAAGCAAAATTGGCTGCTAAGATATTGCCTTTAAAAAGAAATAGCAATTAAATAAGGTGAACCAATGAGGCAGAATCTGGAATTATTTGCACCTTCAGGCTTAAAACTGTTTATTGGGATTAAAGCCCAAATCCAACATTACAGCCTGGAATCCAAGGTGCTATTCTATTTGAAAAACATTACCTTTTCTATTGTCCTAACCAAGAAACATTTTTTTTTTTTTAAAGGCCTAAGTAGTAAGGTTTAACTCATTTCTCTTTTAAAAAGAAAGGGGGAGGGATGTTTTTTTTTCTGAACTATGACTGTATTTTGAGCAGTGCTTTTCCTCACATGAACTTTCTCATCCAAAGGGTGCTGCTTCCTTTCATATTAAACAAGATAAGACTAGAGGAATGATTGCTTCCATTATTCCAACAACATATTCTTTTTATCTCCCAAGGGTTAAGAGTTAACTAACACTCCATGTGCTGGAAAGCAGAATTTGTAGTGTGGAACAAAACCAGTTACAACATCCCACAGAAAAGGGAAACAAGGGACACGAAAGGTTGAGAGTCACCAGGGTCAGGAAAAAACACAGCAAGGCTTGTAAGGAAGGGTTGTTGAATCTGCCTTTGATGTTTTAATTATGATTTTTTTTCTTCTGAAGTGTTGCAATCACCCACAGAATGTCTTAGTTCCAGCGTTTAATTTATTTTTTTTTTTTCCTCTGACTGTCTCGGTTTTGGCATAAGCTATGCCAAAGAAAATACAAGCATAAAAATGTATCGCATAAAGGAGATGATCTAATCACAAATACAGGAGCCTCCCATGTCACAGCTTAGGTCTGTTTATGTCTCCATATTTGCCTCTTAGGAATAACCTGTTCACTCTTGCAGGGTCACAGAGAAATGAGCTCTTTGCTGGTACTGGCACGTGTTACTTGTTCGCACTTTGTCAGTTGTGCCTTCTCTCTTCACATGTAACTGGGGGTTTTTAGCAGTTTGCTGTCTTCTCTCTTGGATGAGTGCAGCTTTCCTACACATTATTATTATTATTCTCCTCTTATACTCAGGTTCAATAAGCAAACCATCATGACTACTGTTTCACTTTCTGTGAACAGCAGCAAGGAATGGAACAAGGACTACTCAGATGAGGCTGAGTCCTGAAATCTTACCCAAAATTTACTCAAGCAAGCTCATAGAGATCTAGGAAAGTCCCAGAGGTCTGTGTTTGGACCAGTAAAAATTATGCCACAATTAATTGTGACACAACTGAGAGGAAAACCAGTACAGGCTGTGCACTGTGGGATAGAAACACTGTGCTGCACTGCTTTATCAAGTTAGAGAGAGGGTGGAGACAGTGACTGGCTGATGAGTGGTTTCCTTAGATAAACATGACAAAAGCATGTAGAAATTTCCATGAAGCTGAGACATCCACATCTCCTGTGCATGCGCAGGACCTGCAGCAAACACAGCTGTCCTGAATCACCTCAGCAAGGAAACCAGGCCTGGGAGGGGAAGAAGTCTTGGTTCCATCTGACGTCCCCACATCCTGAAGCTACTTGCAGAAGAGCCCTAGGGGTATTTAAAATCCCATAACACTGTGTCATCATCACATCAACACCAATTTTGCATGGAACCCAAACTGTGACAGCACTATCTTGGGGGTACTAAACCCCCAGGGCTGCTGTCCTCTGGAGGAGTATGTAGTCTGTGTTTCCAACATCAGAAACAATATATACCTCTGGATGCTCTTCTCTATTTCACTCTTTCCCCCTTCTTCAGTCCTTTGCTGTTGGTTCCACAGAAAGGCAGTGTCCAAACAATGAGATGCAGTTGATAGATGTGAAGGATAGGGTTGTTTGTTCTTGCTGCCTTTTTTTTTTTATTATTATTAAAAAAAACCACCACCACATTCTAGAAGGGATAGCTGGATGGGAACCTCAGTCTGGATGGACCCTGTAAAGTTTAGCCTGGCACCACTCAATAAAAGTGTTGAGTATTGTATGTTTCTTGTGATTGTGGCTCTTATCCTGGTACCTGTGAAGTGTCTGTGCTTGGAAATCTCTGAGATCCGGCTTCTAATGCATCAGAAGGAATCTGCCAGCAAAGCACGTGCTCAGCTCAAAGTAAGAAAAGTTTAGACTAAGGTTACTCACCGTGAGAGAGCAACTTTAAGATGAAAAGAAAAAGCGAGCAGAAATGAAAGTTCAGGACTTTTGTTAGCAAAGAAAGGCTTCTTACAAGAAGTTTAATACAGCACGGCTGGTTGACAACTATGGTTCTCTGCTACGTGGTGATTCTTCTGCTACTTTTTGTTAGTCTCAGTAAAAAGCTTCTTGTCTTGAGATTGGCTGTGATTTAATGACATTCTTCTAACCTGACTGTTCATGACAAATTCCTCAGCACTTCAGAACAGTTAAAGTACATGTAAAGCCCTGGAGGTTTCTTTCTGTCTTTATTTCTCCCTAAATCACAGGATGTCCAGACTTCACACCCGAAAAAAGCCATAGTATTGGAGTGCTTCCAGGAGCCTGAGAGCTGCATTTTAGTCAGAGCAAAGAAAAGACAACACGCTGCATGTAGTCATACCCATTAACAATAGGCAATACTCTGTCTCTAAAAGATGAGCATTTGACAATTGATTGCACAATGAAATGCCACCTGCATACTTGTCCCAAGATGGAGCACTTCATGCTTTTGTCCCTGAAGCTGCACCTGGAGCCCAGAGTGTGAGGACTGAATACACTGTGCAGATCTCCATCTGCACTATCTCACTTGCTCTATGTTGACAACTCGCGTGCTCTTCTACGTAGCTGTTAGCAGCACAGAAATTCCCTTTTCATCGTCACCTTATAGAAGGGTCATAATAATAACTGCACAAACCTCTTTGGTCCCGTTTGATTTGGCTCCTGATGCCTGCTGTTGTTGCTTCTGTTTTTTCAGCTCGTCATGAAGTTATCACCAAAGAGATCCTCGAGCTGGATACATGGGAGAACCAGTGGAACGTGGTGGCCATCAACGTCCTCATGCACGACAGCTATGATGTTTGCCTTGTTGCTAGGCTGAACCCGCGGGATCTTATCCCTCCTCCCCCCGATTTAGTGGACCAATAGAAGTTCAGTGATGCTCAGTGCTTCCAGGTTCTGCAGAAACTGAAGAATTTGGAGAGACAAATGCTGCACTGGCTCCGGATGACAGCTGAGTCCCGTGGAGAGGAGCCGGCAACATGTGCTTAAGGACAGAACTGCCTTTGAGCTGCGCTTCTCAGATGATGCTTGATTTGCTAGTACTGGTACCCTGGACTTCTGCGACTAAAAGTCAAGGTTGCCCAGCCTTTGTGTGTGGCTCTTCATCTTTCATCTGCCTGTGTGAGCTCCAGTGTTGGGTGCAGCCTGGGCTTCTGGGACCCTTTCCCTCACAGGCACAGTGGCAGCCCAGGGTTCATTTCACAGCAGAGCACAACATATGATGGAAAGCTCTAGTCAGGGAAATCCCTCCTTTGCTCTTCATCCCACCTGGTTGTACTAAGCTACTGAGGAAAAAACAGTCAAGCTATATCAAAGGGCCAGACTGTACTGCAGCAGCAGAGGGAAAACAGAGCAGAGCCTTTGTTTGTTTTAAACAAAAAACCATTAGCCAAGGTTCATTAGCCAAGTACACAAGCTACTGCAAATATTATCTAACTCACAGACAGGACAGTCAAAAGATCCTGTCTTTGCCAACAGAGCTGAGCCTGTGCTAGTAGAAATCTAGTCTTTTGGCAACAAGTCACAAGTGAGCCCTCCAGCAGTGTCTGTACCAAAGACACGAAGAATCTAAATTTTCACATAGACCCTACCTATTGCAAGGTCTGGTGTGACCAGAACCTTAAAGCTCAGTTAGAAAACTCTCTTACTTTAAGAGATGGAGAAAGGAATGTAAAGTAAAAAGTAATAAACGAGACCAGTATTATCTGCCTAAGCTCTGCAGCTACAGGAAAAGGAAAGATGTGCTAAACAATAAATGCTTATGTAACAGTAGCTGGTTTTATAGAAGTTGCTTTCATAAAGGTGCATAAATCAAATTCTCTACCACAGAATTGGCTGTAATCACAGGGAAGAGGAATAATTCAAACAGTGTTTTTTAAGGCAGTGTTAGCCTTTATAGGGCTTGAAGACAGTAAGTTAGGGAGAAAATTGTTACCAGTACTGCTATCCCATCTGAATTACCAATTCATCAGTTCTCTGGTGCCTGCCTTACAGTGTATCTGTCTGTCAATGCCTGGGCAGTGTGGACAAAAGAACTGGAAATCTCAGTTGTGCTCTTGGGCCAAAATTGCAAATGGTAGTATGCTGCAATGCAGAGTGAATGTCAGAGGCAAACACTAAGAGTAAACTATGATACAGTACAAGAACTATCACTGTCAGCAAGAAGTTGCTTTAGAAGGCTACAAAAGCAGCAACAAAACTGGAAGGAAATAACTGACAACGAAATGAGGGAATCCATCAGGTAGTTCATCCGTAGTTATTTGCAGGATTTGCGCTTCAGACATCTCCATTTTCTTTTTCAATTGCATTTTAGTCTGCAAAAGTGCTAGTTCTTTTTTGTTGGGTTGTTTTGGTTTTTTTCCTTGCAATACTTATGGCACAGAGAGGTGGACAGGATGACCCAAAAGTCCTTTCCCAATTCTGACTTTTTTGATTCATGAACTATTCTCTAAAATACCCAGAGGGAACATTAAACTGTCATATAAAAACAATTAGCAGGAAGGTCACTGAAGTTTACCTGATAATTATAGTAGGATACTGAGAACTGCTCAGACAATGAGGGAGTTGGTGGGGACAAAACGAAGGAAAACATGTAGAACAGGAGTAAATCTATGAGCCTTACAGCTAACCTCGTCTCCCTTTATGCTTCCCAAGCAGGATGAGTGTCACAGCCTAGATACATGCTCTTGTGTTTGTATCATCCAGTCATTCTTTTTTCTTCCCATTGTTCATATGTAGGTCATCATCTGTCTAGCACAGAGTTATGACAAGCATGAACTTTAGTGGTTCAAATCAGCAACCGATTCCTAGAGTAACTGCTGTAACCTAGTAACCACACTGGTCACTAAGCACGGTTCTAGGTATAAGATCAAGAAGGCAAACTCTGCTTTGATATGTTTTTAAACAAAATCAGTAGAAGGTTCTTCCAAGTAACCATCCAATATTGGAAACTTTTAAAAACTTTCATTGTTAGTGCAAAGTAAAGGTAATCCTGTTCTAATTTGCCTACAGAGCTCTCAAGGCAGCTGGAAGCAATGCTCTTGAGCATCAGTTAAGTGTTTCTGTGTGAAACTCCAAATTCTGCAACTGTATCTACTGATTTTGCTTCTTACACCTTTTTTGTTTTAAGAAAGAATGTTTTAAAGGTTTTCTTTGTCTTTGGTCTCTGCTCTGTGGTCTACTGACAATTCAGATCCTCCTGTGGTTTAAAGCCTGAGTTAATCTACTGGATTTCACTCTCTTATTTCAAGGGCAGAAGGGAGACTTTTGCAGGCTTTCATTAGTGATATTTGAACATGTATGTGGAACACAGCTGAGACTCCTCTATTAAACATTTATTCCTGTAGTGAGCTGGCTGTTTCTTTCCCACTTCATACGTTTTGCTTTTTAGACTGATATTTAACGAGCTGGATGGAAGGAAAGTATGTATTTTGAGAAGGTCTGTCTCGATAACCACGAAGAGTAGTTGCATATGTTTTATATACTGACCTTGCAATCAGCCAGCTTGAGGTGTAGCGGGCAGTTAACAGTTTGTACTTCGTGCACCGTTGGCAAGTGACCTGCCCTCACATGCATCGTGCTTCCTGCTGCCCACGGGCTCAGACTCTTGAGCGGGGACTCTTGTGTGTCTGTGTCTCCCAGTTTCTGACCAAGTCCGAATGTCCAGCACTACATATCAAGCAAGGAATTGTTTTCTTCTGCATTAAACATATAGAATGAGGGCACTAACTTCTTAATTTTGTGGGGGCCCCATGTAATTCATTGTTTGTGCTTAGGCCGACTACAGTTTTTAAATACTTTTAATACTTGGAAATTAAAGCTGGACTGAGGAAGGAAGGAAAGAAGAAGCAGAAAGCATGTTTATTGAGAGGTAAAGATCTCAGCCAAAAACCTTCCGAGAGTACATGAATACTGCATGTCTGATATGTCCATGAGTAGTCCCACATTGCTGGGAAAGTCCTTGAGTGTCTTAATTTCTTGTGTTACAAATCCTGATGCAAAAATAAAATAAACAACTAACTACAGAATATGCATTCTCCAAGCTTGTGAGTTTCACTGAAATAATAGTTCACTTCAGCCCCTTTCCATCTGAGCAGTGGTTAGCTGAGCGTTTAATCAAGGCTGTCTTGACATCATCCATAATTCTAAAATGCAAACAAAGCAGCGCTGGCAAGCTACCGACTATTTAAATGAATGGGGGGATTATTAAGCAAAGGCATACACTTCAGTTTCACTTGAAATGCTGAAGCACATCAGTAGTTGCCAAATATGAAGAAAAATGTTGGAGAGGTAGCTGGTCACGTGACACACAGGGAGTAAAGCAAAAAATGAAATGCTATAAAAAGCTAATTGAAGCTCTCCATTTTTATCCCCAGCTAATGTTTTATTTTGATAAATGTCCATGTATAACTGATTTCATAAGGATCCCTGTAGATCTCTCGTCTCTGTTTTCACACTCATGGTCATAGGAACTGCCCACAGATGTAAACCATGAGGCATCTGACCATCCACCCTCACGTACCACTGCTGTGACTGCGTGCTTCAGTCCCTGCCCGTGCCAGGAGTACACACACACACATTTTACATGTGCACAATACTGAATTTTATGGGGCAGTTTCTGTATTGTGTTCCAGCTGTATTCTGCCACTCAGGAAGCCTTGATTTGCCAACAGAAAATTGCCTTGGCACACACTGAGCTGTCAGCCCCTCTACCAGCACTCCCAAGCGTGCTCCAGGTAAGAGGCTGAGGGAGCATCAAAACCAAGAGACTGGCGGCAGAGATGAGAGGTGCCCCCAAAATGCTACAACATGCAGCAGTGCCAGGCTGGGTGGAACAACCCTCCCCACCTCTTCCTAGGGAGGGCTCAGATGTAAAAGGGTTTGGCTCTGGATTCTTACTTACATTTTTTCCTCTACCTTAAATGTATAATGAGATCCCTGATCACCTGAAAAGCAATGCTAGAATAGTATTTTTTTTTTAAATGCTAAAATATATTCATGAAGATCTATGCTGTTTTTCTGCTGATCTGGAAGACAATTACATTCTTTTAATAAGCTGTTTACCTAGTGATTGCTATCTTATCTACAGTGATGGTCTCTTTCACAGGCTGCTCTCCTAATGGATTACTTGGCTCTGAAAATTTGTTTCATGAATCACAATGCTTTGAATCACCGGGTCAGAATTTCAGTTACTATTTTGCAAATTTCTGTGGCTCTCTCTACAGTGTTTCAAGTGGACTCTAGCTTCAGCTTCAAAGAAAAGCTATTTCACCCCCAGTTGTGCTCAGCTGGAACTGGTATATTTGCAATTTACTATCATTTGACATGTAGAGGTTGAAAGCAAAGGAAATATTGGAAAAATGGCTAAAATATATATAGGATGTATGTGGAAGTACCCTTTCCTTCTTTTCTTGGCGAATGTCTCTTCTGTGTGTACTGCCCTGCTCTGATGGAACGATTTACTAATAACCTATGATTGCCGCCATGGTGAAGGCCACGCTGGGGCTATGTGTTTGTGCGGCCCGAGCAGAGAGAACCAGCATGGTGCAGAGCTGTGGCTCCTGACGGGCTGGCCTGCCTTGCCATAAGAAATTACCTTCAAACGAAAAGGCATTTAAGTGTTCCAGGATGTATACTCCTATGTGGTTTACATACATATGTATAACATTATTTTTAGAAGTTCTTTACTGACAGAAATAAGATCTTTTTTTAACACATACCTGGCAACTCTTGTCTTCTGCATAGCTCATCAAAGTACTTCCAAAAAAGTGCTGGTCTTTAAATATATGGAACTATTCCAGGCTTTGAGTCAAAAGAACCTTAAATTCCTTGCTGAGCTAAGGGAAATCTTTCAGTCCTCACCTATGTCTCCTTCCTTCTCCAATGTTTTGCTGGCTGTAGCACTTTGCTCAGAAGCTTAGTCTCCTCTTGGAAGCTTTGTGCAAGTCTGTTTCTCTCCCCCTAACCTCATTTCTGCCTCAGCCCATTTGTCTGACAAGCCCTTAAACTCCTTCTCCCCTTCAGTTCCCCAGAAGATGGGAACAACCACTTGGGGTGTTCACCAGGCTCCAGACTTCTCAGAAGCCTATTGCTTCCAGCAACAAATCAGCTCTGAAGGACGGAAGGAAGACTATACCAGCACCCTGGATTTGAGGACACTCATCTTTGAGCAGGTTTTAGCCCCAACCCCAATTCTGTGGTTCAGTCTCATTGCAAATAAAACCTGCCTGCTCTGCAGTGTCACTGATCTCTGGCTATGACTGGGGCTGGAAGGCAGGTGACCTGGCAGAAGACTAAGGTCTTGCTGCTGTCTCGCTGCGTGATCTGGTAAGTTTGACATTAAATGCCTTGCATACTGTGAGTGCCATAGCTGTAATGACTGCAGGCAGAAGACATTATCATTATCTCTGATTCTTGGACGCCAGTTGCTACAAAAACTGTCTGAAGCACAGAGGGAGGCGTCTTCATTATTGCATTAGAGCTCACGTCTTAAAGGCAGATATTCTCCTGCAATTTCTGTCAGGCCAGGTTTCACTAAAGAACCCGGTC